TACTATTTTTAAGGCATCCATCAATCAAATTCTAAGCACAAAGAATTATACTGAATTTTCTTTTCAAGCTTTCAGATCTGAAATCAGATTTCACACTAACCCTGGGTTATCTAAACCCACCTTTGAACAAACCCCAATTACACCAGCCTTGATGGTTAGGGTGAAATAAACCAACTGAAGTTCATTCTGAGTAAATCAGTTGTCAGGAAAAATAATCAGCTACCGCACTGCATGCAAAAGTGATTTCTGTAAAGAAGAGGAATGTAGAGGCTGAAGGGGTTCTTAGTCAAAGTACCTAAACATCTACAGCTTAATATGGTCACGTGGTTTGAATGAAGCCATTGGAAGAGAGACCTTTCGTGTAACCATAGACATAAACTTTGTCTTACATGACATACTAACTAAATGCGTGTCCAACGAGTGTTCAGCGAGGACTGCGAGTATCTCGGCCAGGAACGGATGTAACCAAAGTTGAAAAATCTCTCATCCCTGGTACGATGTTAATGGATCAATTAACTGTAAATTTACTCTTATATTTCGGATCTCTCTCTCGTTGATCTGCTGAAATGTTGCTTACTGTATATGATTCGAATTTTTCACCACCACATGCTTGTTCATCTTGATATCCTCGTGGACCTCAAGCGTGATTCTAAAATCGCAATCTTGGCGCGTGCCGCCTGGATTACGCCGTAACAATATTTTCTTAAGACAGGAATTAACTCACGAGCATGATATGAAGCCCTCGTGGACTGGTTAATTGCCATTAAACAATTTTATCAGAGAAAGAGGGCAAACACTCAATTATTTCTGACATAAAGTTTAAAAATTTGAAGCAGATTGGGAAAACCCAGACTACTCTGACAACGATCTAAAGGCAAGCAGCTGCACCAGCGAACCATGAACATGGCTAAGAGGAAAAACAGAGTCAAATTTTTGCATGTTTATTATTAACAAGTAATCATACAAATTTATTTTGTGTAAATTTTTCAAAGACAACAAATTAAACTTGCCCTATAGGCTTGTGCAATATTTGGTTAGCCTTTGAAAAAGTTACTAGAGCTGGTTTATCTCAAATTGCACTCAAAAGTATGTGATTACTTATAAAAATAGCATGGAAGAATTTTTTTAATGAGCAATTACATTTTTCTTTAAAAGGGTATCAACAAAGGTAGAGTGGAGAGCATGGATGAACAAAATGAAGTGACAAGGACAGAGGTGGACAAACCTTTCAAATGTGTACAATGTGATAAGTCATTCAAGTGCAAGTCAAAGTTGGCTCGACACGCGAAAACACACACTGGTGAAAAACCGCACAAATGTACTCAATGTGACAAAGGTTTTCTTACAAAATCATACTTAAGGATACATATGAGAATACACACTGGTGAAAAGCCCTTCAAGTGTACTAAATGTGACAAAGGTTTTCTAACAAAATCACATTTGAGAATACATATGAGAACACACACTGGCAAAAACCTTTACAAATGTACTCAATGTGACAATTCTTTCAGGCTGAAATCTGAATTACAGAAACACCTAAATGTACATGCCGAGGTTACATGTAACAACAATGGAAAATGTCCATACTGTAACAGTGAGTTTGTGAAAAGTAATGCTGGCTCTAACTATTGCAAGAAGTGTGATAAACATTTTAATACTTCCCAGCGAAGGAGACCCAGGCAGTGTCCTCTGTGCGAGAAAAAGTTTCCAACTCTGTCACAGTTAGAAAGGCATCTGCCAAGTCATGGTGATGAGAAACCATTCAAGTGTAATTTGTGCAGTAGAGGTTTCAAACAGCATCGCAATTTGACCTTACATTTGGGTATTCATAGTGAACAAAAGCTATACAGGTGTTCATTGTGTGAGAGAGGCTACTCACAGAATGGAAACTTAAGAAAACACTTAAAACTAGAACACTCAGAATTCAAGGAATGGCACAACTGTACTCAATGCAGCAAATCCTTTGGTACCTTGTTTCAATTACAGCGACACCATGCTAATATCCACACTGACCTGAAACCTTTCAAGTGTACTCATTGCACTAAGTCATTTAATGACTGCTCAAGCTTAACAGCACATCTCAGACTTCACACTGGTGAAAAGCCTTTCAAATGTACTCAGTGCAACAAATGTTTTAACTCTTCATCTAATTTGAATACCCACTTCAGGAAACACAGTGGTGTAAAACCTTACAAATGTGACCAGTGTGATGTATGTTTTACTCACCGAGACAGCCTGTTGCATCACAACAGATCTTTTCATGGTAATATGCCATACAAATGCAGAGAATGTGGGAAAGGTTTTACCACTGACCGTGGTTTGAACAGACACAAGTGTCATCAAATTAATGTCCACGTTGTAGCAATTATATAAGTGATGATATTGTCACATTTCAGAAAACTATGGTTAGGTTAAGGTAGCTTAGGCCCAGTTCAGATGCCAAACTTTTCATGAGCCAAACTCAATTCAAATTTGGACTGACTCAAATTAACAAAAGCACGCCTGTTAATTCAGATGCTGTTCTTTTTGGCCATTCCAAATACATCTCCATTAAAGCCAGTCAAACTGCTTGCAAAATACATTTTAATAATTTACACATTAAGATTGGCACATGAAAAGTATGGCATCTGAATCAGAGCTGTTCCAAAGGTGTTACGAAGGCAGAATTCTTGGTCAAGCCAGGCAGAAAGAATGGGTGAACTGTTCCAAACTGAAATAGCCATTCCAAATTGATTCAGATGCCAATCTTTTCATGTACTAAATTCAAGGAATTGGGTTCAGCTCATGAAAATATTGGCATCTGAACCGGGCCTTAGAGCTTTTTCAGAGAACTTTGAACTCTCTTTGATATATCAGTTCATGGCAAGATAATAATTAGAAAATCAATTCCCCATGATTACATAAGAAATTTCATGAAAGAAACTCCATTCTGTAAGATTCAGAGCCTCCTTGACCATTAAATTCTCAAGAGTGACTAGCATCTGCTTTACAGTATCACCCCTGAAAAAAACTTCATGATTGTGAGTCAGAATAAACAAAATGATCAACAACTGATAAAAGAAAGTCTCGAATGTTAGAAAAATTCTGCTTGTATAGAGCACAGTATGGAGAATATGCATTCTGATGCTTGGTTGGAAGGGTGAAATAAGAAGAAATTAAAGTAACTATGAATTTTATCAAAACCCTGATAATACTGTAGATTTTTCAACAACTTACTACAAACATTGAGATTTTTTTTCCTAGTTTGTATCTTTTCACCATTACCCAGTTTAAACCTCTACTTTAAGTTATACTGGAGTCCAAATTATCAATAACTTTAGGACTCATCCTTGAGTATGAGCTGGTAGTTTGAGTTGTAGTCGAATTTCAGCTTTTCATGATGATACCAAAGAATCTAGTCAGTTTCTGTACTTTGTTTCCTGACTATGACTGTATTTGGAAACCTTTTCTTATATGTATAATTTATATTTGATATGGGTTTTTATAACCGTGCACAAGTTTGTATCATTAGGAGGTAGAGAATGACTGTTTTTACTTTAGCCAAGTGGCTTTCAGTGATTCCTATCCCTGTAAATTTAAACTGTTTTCTTGTAAGGAGTTTCATTACATCCCTGAATAGGATGCTTGTCAATGAAAGGTTGAATATCTACAATATTTTGCTATTGTTAAACTGAAAATCAGGAGCACCTAAACAGGAATCACCCAGTATGTCAAAGAGGTGAAAAGAAGTGCACCTGCCAACTTAGAAGGCATGAGGATGCTGCCTGTGAAAATTAAGTTAAATCTCACATCAGTTTGCATTTTTTGAGCAATTTCTCCCATGTTGTTGAAGCTTGACATTTTAGCCAACTGATACATTTTGAAGGGTTTAATTAGTGAGTAAAAATAATGCAGTGCTTAATGGTGTCAATAATTACCATTATCATTCAATGGATTTTTTTCCCCATTTTCATTGGCTGGGAGCCTACCACGTGACCTGCAAATAACTGCCCACAAATAATGGTCTGCTCATGCGTACTACCGTCCAGCTCTGTTTTTGTTGTAAATAATATTCTGCTCATGCGCAGTAGTAACCACGCTCTTGTGGTCGCTCTTGCGTGTACTATCAGAATCGTTCAACAACAAGAAGACCGTAACAACCATTACAGCAACCTCTTCGACTCCTGTAGCCAAGGGCGTAGCCAGGGGGGTCCTGGGGTGCCTGTGATCCCCCCTTGGTAGGCCTTCTTTAGAGAAAACAACCTACAATATTCAGGTGGCGAAAATGCCATGACAATATCTTGGCCGTAAAAGCCATTGTTCAAAAGCCCACTTTTTTCAAATTTCATTTTTTGTAAAGTATTTTCGTCAACGGCTCTTGTATTTAGTTAATGTTGGCCTTCATGCCGCGAGAATACGACTAAGCCCGCCGATACACGTGGGAGAGGAGCGGTGTAAGTGGTGAGTAGCCTCTGTCACCCCCCCCCCCTTTTGAAAAATTCTGGCTACGCCCCTGGTAGCTGAGAGTGCACCGCAACCAATTCTCACAGCCTCTCAGGTTCAGGAAGAGCATATTCTAAATTAGCTAAGTATTGAGCAATCTAACACGCAGCAGACAGTTAATAATTTTTATAACTGCACTTTCAACGGTGTTAAAGCTAATTCATCAATGAATACATTTTCCATTTTTTTTCGGATTTCAAATCCTTGAAGACTGTGAACTTGTTCCTGGAAGTTTCAGCCATTCGAAGGCATACATTTTGTTAATTAGCAGTTAAAGTCGACAGAATAAATTATTTAACTGAGAAGGAAACCATTTTATTTTTGGCAGCAGTGCGCGCTTGCCGCTTCCCCAAAAAATTTGGAGACAAATTCACTTGTCGCTTCCCCAAAACAAATTGAAAACAAACGCGGTGATCGAACGATAAAACAATTATTGAACTGGGTTATCGCAAAATATCGTGATTTGTCAGTGTCTCGCAAATCAATTATTTGAATAATTGATAAAAAATAATTGATCAGCTCGCCACGGACAAATCACGATATTTTGCTCAACCTCGTCCAATAGTTGTTAATTCATGGTATTTCATTTCCAACAGGGCTTGTCTAAATGTTTAAATCTTTCAACAAAAAAAAATTAGCAGGTTCCATATTTATGGCTGGTGTAATTTTTTCATATACTTAGGTCCTTCCTTTGCCAATCTGGAGAAGCCTTCAAGTTTTACTATACCATCCTTATCTTATCTCTTTGCAGCCATGCATTTAAGGTCAAGCAATATTGGCGACACCAAATGCACATGAAGTGTCATTTTATCTTGATAAGAAGATGTGTGTATATTGAGGACAATGCATGCCCATCCTCATTGTTCTGTCTGATGTGACTGAGACAATTTCCATTCCTTTACAATAGAGTGAAGATGTGACATCCCCTTGGTTGATTTCATTTCTCCCAACTTGTCTAGTATGTAAGGACAAAAAATGTGGTTATTGTAAACATCAGCTTGAAAAAATTAAGACCGACCAGAATTTACTGGAAAATCAAATTTCCTTGCTGCTTTATGCCTCATTTGAAGCAAACAAAATGCATGAATGTCAGAGTGACCTTACCAGGACAACACAAAAGTGTTTATACAAACCCAAACTTGTGCTATGGCTTTTACATCTTCAAAGTTTGTTCTCCCCACCAAACTTTTGTGTAAGGGTTCCCTGAGTCAAAAAAGCAATTTTTTGTTTGCCAACCTGCTTCAAAACAACACTGATGACTTGGGGGTATGGCCATTACAAATTAGCTTTTTTTTTTCATTGCTTACATTTCACGCGATGAAAAAATAAATTGCTAAAATCGACATTTACCGTAATTTCCGGCCGTTTACCCGCACGGCCGATTACCCGCACCGGCCGATTATTGCATGCAGCGAAAAAAAAAGGCAACAGATTGCCCGCACTGGTGGATAAACGCACCTTAAAAGCAGAGGAAATTTGTACAAAAAGGCTCTAGAATTCACAACGTTTCATACTTGACAGAATGCGAATTCGTGGCCACATTTTGTGCGAGCGATCGTTCAGCGCCATGTTGATTTGTTGATTTCTCACATAAAAATCAATATCTCCGGTTCTCCTGGGCCTAACAAGTCCCAGTCCCTTAAAACGGGAAAATTCTCTTCAGCTCAAGCTCGTGTTAACTGGAAATTTGTTACTGATGCGCCGGATATCATTGGATTATTTTTGTCACAATCAAGGTTATGGCACCACATCAAATGTGTGAAAAAGGACCTCAGAACAATTATATTTAAAAGCCTTATATTAATTGCCATTTCATCCAAACATATCATGTTCAACAGTACAAAATTAAGTGGTTAGTAAAGCAGTGACATTAAATGTCTATGTTCTCCCCTACATGTAACGATATTTTTGACAATGCATATAGCTTAAGTCTCAATTTTGATTGCCTCTTTTTTCTTTTTTTTCTCTTGCAATAACCGTTCCTTTTTCATTTTTTTTTTCACTCTCTTGTTTTCACTTCTATTTCCTGTGCCTTTCCTCTTATTTTTTTCCCCAAAAGTGCAACGAAGCAAGAAGCATGCCCAGTTTTGGAATATTACCAACCGATTTAGGGTACAATCAAGGTATCCAGGTCCACTCAACTCTACAAGTTATCATAAGTTCCTTTCAGCGGCATCTCGCAATCTATCCTGCTCTGAGATTTTACCAAACTTCCACTCAAAACATGGTTGGGATTTGTTGAATCTCCAATTCTCCTCAAACTTTATCAAAGTGCACTGCTAGAACGAGGCAAGTGTGCATAGAATCTGAAAAGTGGCACGAAAGGAAACACCCCTCTTATTCTGCTACAGCCGACTCACTTATCTCATAATGATATAATACAGAACAAAGCCTTGGAGGGGGCCTGTTCTGGGACCTCGTCACATGGATCATTACCGCTTACTTTCCACATGTCCATGACCTGCTACCCAGACGCAAACCACAGACTACATGACTAGGCTGAACTTGTGGCAAGGTGGATAGCTCGTTGATAGTAAATTTTTTGCGGATTTGAGGTCAAAACTACTGCACATGCCTGTCTATGTCAGATTCCAGTGAAACTTGTCACCTACCATCACTTTTTCAAGCGCAGATTTGCAGGAACAAGAGGGACCGCTGCAAATCAGTCCAAAAGTTTTAAGGACGATTCATTCACCTGCGTATACAGTTAAATAAACCTCATGTATCAGCTTTAAATTGATGAATCAAATCAACGTTAATGTCTTAAATATTTTTAAAAAAATTTGTAAATCCTAATAAATAGTCAAACCTTCTTCACGCTAATGACCTACTAAGGTAGTTCTAGAACAACTAGAAAAGTCCTAATGATGCGCATGGGCCATAAAGTGCTTTCCGATTGAAATCGTAAACCCAAAGACCAAAGTGAACAGAATAACCGGACCAACACAGGGCAGGAAACTTTCTTTTCAATTCACTTGTCCCTTCGGACAAGTGCAGTGTGTATTTTACTTGTCCGGACGACGAAACAATTTGTCCCAAAAAAGTCGGCAACAGCAGTTTAGGGTTTCAAAAATCCTTTTTTTAATTCAACCATGCCCAAGTTAAGTGAAAAGCTAAATAGTCAATAAAAACATTCAACGCAACAAATTGAATAAAGGTATATTCTTTTGATACATCTGTCGGTGTATGTCAATATGTTCATTCTACGTCTGACTCATCTTCAGAAATTTGGGGAAGTGGCGGTAGAATTTCGTCTTCTTCAGGTTCTAGTCTTGTGCCACTAGCAGTACGATTTGTTCCCTTTGCAGTGACTGAGAGCTGTCCAGAGGATACCAAGACAAAGTGCCTTTTCCTTTTGCTACCAAGAAACCAGTTGCTGATCGCTGGCTTTGGGTCAAAAGCGTTGATACCTTTAGTTGATGAACTAACAGTCATGAGATCCTGAAGAGTGAAGCATCAACCAAGTCGGCAAACTGAGTCTTAGGTACTCCGTCTGGTCCGATGTATCTCGCAAAAACAGATTCTTGCTCGATGATCCCTGAATCTGTGCTCCCATCTGCCAAGACTGAAAAGAACCTTGCTTCTTGCAGCTTTTTTCTAATTATGTTTTGCTCAGTATCTGCCATTGCAGAAACGACTGTTTTACAGACTTTAGGATTTCTGTAATTAGGTCCCAGGTCAACCTGATTTTTCTCCTGAAGGTCACAAATACTGGCATATTTTTGAAAGGCAAGATTTTCCTTAGCGACATAGTGGGCAGTATTGAACAGTTTCTCTAGCCTTGCTTGTGATTCCTGGCTTATTCGCGAAAACATCTTCTGCAATGGGCTGTCTTCCCGTTTCTGGTCATTCAGCAGTCTCGTATGGCAAACAACATGGTGACGACTTTTTTAATGGGCAGTAAAGTTTCTCGTCTAAATCCTTGAACTCCATCCCCACATCCAATATACATCGGGCTGCTCTTATCTGCTATTTCTGGAAACTTCCGACAAGTGGCATGGAGCAGTGCATTTTGTTTGTTTTTAGCTCATAACAAACCCAGTCGAATTTTGTCATCCAAGCCAACTGAAATTTTCTTACGCGCTTGGTTTCATATTTCTTTTTGTTATCTTCAATCTCTATCCTTTTGGAAGGAACATCCTAGTCTGTATTGACATTCTTATGTGCTTCCGGTGACCTTTTCAAAAATTTTGAACAATTTTGATTGAGACATTGCCGATAGTCAAGCAAACGAGCGATTCAGGTCGCTGACCTCGCTGACCGTTACTGAAATGCACGTGTGATCGATGTACATGCAATTGTGCTGTACAGCGGGGATCGTGTGGAAATCAGTGGCGACGCTTAGCGAAGAAATCAAATACACAACTTGCACAAAAAGAAAACAAAGTTTATTTTCAAGGCATTTAGTTATAAACTACGGGAAAAAATGATTTATTATTTATCCAAAGTCAGGCAACGTTAGAGCACTACCACTTACTTGTCCAATCGGACAACTTCGATCATCCATTTACCTTGTCCGAATGGAAAAGTTACCCGTCTCGGACGTTCGGACGGGCCAAGTTTCCCGCCCTGTAACAAAAGGAAAAATTCTCAAATAGCCAATGAAAAAGCAAAATATTTTCAAATACAGACAATCATTTTTTAAATGCTTTTGCTCTTAACTGAAAAAAAAAACACAGACTTCTTGAGCTATCATTCTGAAAATATGAGGACAGCGAGCAAAGGGGTCTGAGGAATCACAAGAAAGAAAAAAAATAGAAATGAGTTGATGATGACTACACTGTGCAAATGACAATTTTCATGGTTTTCCTGAAGCTGGTAAGTCAATCACAGATATTTTACACAAAGATTTAATGTGATAACTACTACTACAGAAATGTTCAGATTCCATCACTACAAAGTGAAAAATACAATTCTTGACATACCAGCTATTACACTATTAGTCTCTACTTTCCCTATGTTTTGAAAATACTTCATGAATCAGAGATATAAAACATGATTATTTCACTGTTTGCACATGGATGGGCCTACAATTTGAAAGCGTAAAAAAAACTAATATAATTATTACTATGTCACATCAAGACTAAAGAGTCTATGCTATGCCGTCTGGGGGTGCTTAAATGATCACAGTTTCTGTAGCCTACGAGTGTTTCTCAGAGTACTCAGTTTATGTACCTGAAACCACCTTTTTCCATTGTTCTATAATTGAAATACTTTCATTTAGTCCTGGTTTGGACCAATAAAAATAAAGGTGGGACAAATTCTACAGGCAGGTAATTCATGCTCATTACTTCCTAATCCACATTATGCCAACGCCAACAACAGGATGTCGGCGTGATTCCAATAGGCCACCCAAAACCTTGAAAAAGTCTTTTCCTGACTCAGTCATTTGATTGTTTATCAAGCCTAGAAACTTCAAAGTCTTATTGTACTGAAGAACCTCCACAAATTCTTTAGCACCATCATCACCAATTTTATTTTCTCGCAGCTGCAAATATTTCAGGGTTTGATTTGTTTTCAGTGCCTGTGCAAGAGCTACTGCGCCTGGACAGTCAATGTGATTTTGACTCAAATCTAAACGTTCCAGAGTGCAATTAACCCTGAGACCTTCTGCTAGGAGTATTACACATGATGAGCTGATCGAGGCACGGCTTAAATCTAAACGGGTCAGCCGAGTGTCACGTGATTGAAGGGCCTTTGAAAACACTTCTGCTGATGAATCACCAAAGCAACATTCGGACAACAAAGAAAATTTCTCACCCCCTAAGTATAAATGAGTCAGAGAACAATTTGACTGAAGAGCCTTTCCAAGCTCTGTTAATGATGAGTCACTAAAAGTATGTCCATGAACATCTAGGTAGGTCAGCGAACTGTTATATCGGAGAGCATGTGCTAAAGCCTGTAACCCCTGATTACCAATTTGGTGATCACGTGATCCGAAGAACAATTTATTTATTTCACCGTCCAAATTTAAGTACCTCAAGGTTTGGTTAGACTCCAAAGCTTGAGAAAGTGCTGTGGCTCCCTTATTACCGATGCCATTATTTCCAATATTCAAGTGCTCCACTACTTTATTGGACTTCAAAGCTTCTGCTAAGGCTTCAACCCCGATAGGTGTGATCTGATTATTACCTAATCCCAAGTGAGTCAGAGTATGATTTGACTGGAGAACTTTTCCAAGTACTTTGGCTTCCACATCACTGACTCCGGTTCCATGCATATCTAAATGTGTAACCGTGTGATTTGCCTGAAGAGCTGGAGTTAGTGACGTGATCCAAACGCCATTCGTCAAATGTAAATGCGTAAGAGTACGACTTGTTTGAAGGACATCAACAAGTGCTGCTGCAGTTGAGACATTGAGTTCCCAATTTAATTTGTTCAGTTTGCAGTTGCCTTTTAGATATTCAGACATAACAAATGGAAATCGTGAGTTAAAGGTAGTGCCACCATGACTACTCTTCACTGTTATTTCATCCATGGGAAAACAGCGTGCAAGCATACCAGCCATCTTAATTTGGTAAGGTTTAAGTTTCCTTTTAGGTTCTTCACATTGAGTAATGGCATCCACTATTTTCACTAAGAACGAAAACTCCTCCTCAACTGAAAAAGGCCTCAATTTCTGTTGCTCTGACTCGCAATCATATCCAGCATCTTTACAAACATGGTGATATTTTAAGAGACGACTGGAGACAATTTCTCTTAATTTAGCTTTTAGTTGATCATCCTCATCACTGGAGAATTGGACAACTTTTTGATGCTGAAAGAAGGTGCATATATTCGAAACCAATAAGACGGCTGTATCATCACTTTTACTTGCTGCCATTGTCATGAGAAACTTCCACACCTGCCAATAATCATGAACAGGACTAAGCTGTGCCAGAAGGGGAGCCTTGTCCCTGTCAGTAGTTAGCAATTCATGCGCCACGTGGAATGCGGCGAAATATTCCTGGAAAGTCTTGTGGATAAATGCATAAGTTGGCTTCGGTTTGAGTTTGCTTGCACTGGCCTCTCGAGAAAGAAATCCAAGCTCAAGGAATTCATTTGACTGACTTTTCAGCTCCTCTAAAGAGAAAGCTAATTCATCTTTAAGCAGAGCTTCAAGAGCCAGCTCTCCTAACTGGTTTAGTTGGTTTGCGTACTTCTTTATGGGATCTTGGTAGTCCAAAGAGATCTCTTTTTTTGAACAATATCTTCTAAGAACACAGTTGACAAGTTCACTATACAACATGGTTCTGTTGTAAGGCAATATTCCACCTGTATCTTCAAAAACAAGACAAAGAAGAGCTGTGTTCAGTGCATTGCTAGTCAATTTTCTGAGCTGTGTGTCTTTTTCTATTTCCATGATCAGTTCCAAACCAAGACTCGGTTTGTCGTGACTGCGAAAATACTTCTTGATGTAACTATCTGCATCACTTTTGGTGTAACCTACAATCTCAAACAGTGCGTCACAGTGTTGCCGAACTTTCATCCCAGCTTCGTGTCGAGCTGTTAACATGACATATGTTAAAGGAAATACTCTTCCTTTAATCAAAGGCAAAAATTCTTCGAACAGGTTTTTCGGCAATTCATCCAATCCGTCAAGCACCAGCAAGACTCTAGTTTGGTTGCGGCGAATGAAATGGAAGAATTTCCCCTTGTCTACCTTGTCAACAGTAATTGGTAATAGCTGATCATCAATAGCATCCTCAATGTTCGCAGTCTTCATGTCACGACACATCAGCCGAAGAAAAACGTCCACTTTAGGAAAAGAAGATCCAGTTGTAATGTCCCCCACAGACCAATCATATGAAAGTTTCTGACAGTAAGTAGTTTTTCCTATCCCAGGTGGTCCCTCGATCAACACCACTCTTGTGTTTTCACGTTCACAATCACAGTCAGATTGACAATCACATGCTTTGTATGGTCTAAAGACATCAGTCATTTCGACGGGAACAATTGTCAACTTTGCTCTTTCCTTCTTCCGACCAACAATCTTCAGTCTCGTAAATATCTTGGACAATTCAAACAGTAATTCACCCTCACACCAAGGGAAGGGACACAGTACAGTGCCCTTGTACTCTCGTTTGATCAGCTCTACAATTTTCTCTGGGTAGTCTGAAAAGATAAATTAACTCTGCTGCCTAAATTCAACAGACTTTTAAGTCACTAGACACACAAACAGTCCTCCGTGATCCATCATTCAATTATTTGCAGATCCCACGAGATCAATGAAAAGAAGGAGTGAAGTGCATCGAACGGTAACACTTTCAAACCATGCATGACAAAACAGTTTTTGCATTGTATTACTAACCTTGATCTTGGTCAGGGGCATTGCTAAGATTTTTAACAGGGAGAGGGGTAACCTTTTCCAGGCTACTAAAAATTGCTTAAGAACAGAACGTAATTCGCTATCATTTGATGCACTTCACTTTTTCTTTTCATTGTGTTATCAGTCCCCTCAGGAATTACAAATAATGCTCTGCTCTTCAGCAATTATGACTACTCTCGTCCATTGAAAATAGCATATGGCTTCTATGGGCTATCAGAGTGTTTTCTCCACAAATAGGTATTTTAGATTGTGAGACAAACCGAAGAGTTAGTTTAGAGCAAAAAAGTTATATCAAATATCTGAGAACATACTGATTAGGAACATGATGGGTTATTAAGACTGATATAAGAAGTATTATTGATACTCACCNATTATGAAGCCGTAAGTAAACTTATGTTTGACGTGCACAACCAGAGGGCTCCCATTAATATTTTGAAACTATTTACTAAAACATCTCATATTCATACCTACAATACTCGATCATCCAAATCGCAGCTCTTTAGTACAAAGTACTCTAGACTTAACCTACAAAAAAAGGCTTTCTCGCGTGTTGGTGTCAAAATTTGGAATAAGATACCGAAAGAATTCAAAACGTTATCAAAACATTCCTTTAATAAACAAATTAAAACGTCTTTATTTCAGATACTAGATAATGAAGATTCTTATCTTGATGTTGAAAAGATCTCCTCTAAACTTAAGGACTGCATAATTAAAACAAATTGATCCGATTGCTTTCAGTACTAATGTATTTGCTTCTATACTTTATTGAACAACTATTGATGTATTTGCCAGCTATGCTTCTTTTTATAATTTAACAATATCTAATTATTTAGTTTTTAATTTTCTTTATATATTGTAAATAATGTTTGTTGATGATTGACCCGCCTCGAATAGCAAATTTGCTATCTGCGGGTCAACATAATCTAAATTATTTTGTAAGAAAAAGAAAAATAAAGTGTGTAAAGTGTGTAAAGTGTGTTAATCACTACAAATAGTTGAGAAGTATTCTCTAATCGTATCATGAATTTTTTAGTGTTTTGAAAAAAATTAATATCATCCGAAACCTTCGGACGAGGTAAATAATTTGTTGATACAGTAGTGTTACTGTGTTTATCCCCTCAAGCCTGGATAATTGTCTCAGCTACACCTTTATACTTAGCATGTCAGTTAAACATTCTGGGGGTCCCTATGAGAGATGACTATATTTTGAGGAATAGGGCTGTTTGAAAAACTTACCAGCCGACTTAGGATTTTCTGGGCATTGCATGATTAGGTCTGGTTCTACCAATTTTGTTATGCCTTGTACTTGATCTGTAAGAGATAATCAGTGACAGCAAGATTTCAACCTAAATAAAACTAAGAAAAATATCTGAAGGCATTTTTTCTAAATGGCTAAACAGCTCCATCATCAATTCTCAGTTCAAAGTTTTAATCTAAGTAACAAATTATCAGCTTATTGTATACCTTTGTTAACAGCTTAAATGATCGTAAATAATCCCCCATACCTAGTCTACCTTAATACTCCATCCCTTACCCCTCCTATACGAAGCCTTGCAAAAAGTGCCCTCAATCCTTTCACTTTTAAGAGTGACCAAATAGGACTTTTTCTTAACGCTACCAACACATTTTCAAGCCGAAGGGCACCAGACCTTACTTTAGCATCAACATAGTACTAATTGTTGTGTTGCTAAAGGTCTTTTACCCTGACAGAGCACTCTCATTGGTGACTTTGGATTTCACATGTTGAAAGTATCTGAGTGGGCAACATTGCAAAATCTATGACGTCAGAGGGTAACATTGTATTTTTTTTATTAGCTTTGCCAAACAACAATTAAAATATATAAATTGAAAAAAAAAAAGAAAAAAATTACAATCAAAGAACAAAACAAATATATATAGATAGATAGATATATAGAAGGGTTAAACTTGATATCCGTAAAACAGTGCTTAATACATATAGTAGAGCGAGTATAATGTGCGATAGGCAGAAAAAATCAACTACATTTTATCCCTACGGACCTGTTTCGGGGTTGTCCACTCATCAGGGAATTTTAATGACAGAATAACACAGTACCATTGTTTATATACCATGCTAATTAACATAATTGACTTGGTGCGAAAAGTGTCAAGTCAGCTGTTGCGTAGGAAAGTTTGTTTCTGTGTTGGCAGGAAGAGACGAGTTCGTTACGCTTGTTGAGTGTAGATAGGTCGGGTCGGCAGATGATCTGGAGTTTCTCTTTAAGGCATAGGTTGCATCGTTTGCTTGAGCTGTTTAAGGGCAGATGTCAAGATAGAATGCACCAGGTGATGGAATAGCCAATGTTGTTGTCTTTAAGTGTCCAGATGTGTTTACTGAGTCCGATAGAGTTGCGGTGCTTTGCGTGTTGGAACGATGAGGTGTGGTTGCTGTAGCGGGTCTTGAAGTCGTCTGAGGTGAGTCCGATGTATGAATCCGTTGAGTTGTTGTCTTTACGTGTAACGGTAGCTTGGTAGATAGCAGATTGTTGGAGGCAGTTTCTGTCTAGCAGGCATGAGTTTTTCTGTCAGCAGTTGCATTTCTTGTTATTGTTAGCGGTAGTGTCGGCGGTTGTGTCGGCAGCATTAGTCTTTATGTGGGAAGTCAGGATTCTTTTGTTATCTTTGTCAATGATTTGTTTTGTATTGTTCATGCAGCTGTAACTGATCTTGATTGTGTTTCTGTTGAAGATTTTTCGAAGCTTATGGTCTTTAGGGAAGTGTTTGTCTATCAGTACAAGGAATTTATGCCTGACGTTAGTGCTGGTGTTCTTGCTGAAAGGTGGGTTGTACCAAAGGATGTTGTTGCGTTGATGGTTCTTGCGCCTTTGCGTGTGCATTGGTTCATATCAATTGCTTCGCAAGAATGAAGAGCCCCACTACCTAGTGGTGAAAATGAAAAATGGAGATCGAGCAGTTGTGGCCCATGCACTCTGTTCGTGCAAGGGAGGAAGCGGTGCACATTGCAACCACATGTTTGCCCTTTTGTTCCAGTTGAACGACTACTCATGTTTAGGAATGAAAGACATTTCAAGTGAGGCCACTTGTACTAGTCAGCCACAGTCTTGGCACATTCCTTGAGCTACATCTATATCCCCCATGCCAGTTATGGGAACACATTACACCAGAGCCGCAACAGATAGAAGTGGAGCACGGAATTTGGACCCCGTAAAATGCAAGCTTTACGAGGCCAGAGGGCCAAAGCTGCGACAGGTAGACATGCAGCACGTGTTGTCCAATGTAGAAATGATGTGGATCACGGACAAACCCCCACCATTTTCTTATCTGTTGAGCGACCAAGCGCCCATAATAAAAGTAAATGCTGTCTTTGGAAATGTTCCTTTCGGTTCACCTTTGGTCGATCAGCTGCAGGACTTTGGTAGGCCAAACAAACTTAGGTCAACAACAAATCTGGATTTTGACACTTGTCCAGATTTCTTTCAGTCAAATCTCAGCCTTGACCTTGCTGAAGCCCAAGCCCTTGAAAAGAGAACTGTTCTTCAAGGAGAATCCAAGGAGTGGTTGGAGCAACACAAGCTCCGCCTTACAGCTTCCAGTTTTAGCACGGTGTTTCAACGTGTTCACAGGCCATCTAAAGCTATGGTAAAAAGCCTGTTTGCCAACAAGGACCTGTCAAAGGTCAGAGCAATTGCACATGGAAAAGCTAATGAGAGAGTAGCGCGTGCAATATTTGCACGTAACAAGCAAAAAGTGACAAAGACCTTTACAGTTCTTGACGCAGGCCTGTGTGTTAACCCACTCCTCACATACCTAGGGGCAAGTCCTGATGGGAAGATCTTTGATCCTCTTGTTGACCCATGCTATGATCTTCTTGAGATTAGGTGTCCATTTTCAAAGAGGGCAGATACCTTGGAGCAGGCCTTAGCGATACAATTCAATAATAGCTCCCCAGAAAACCTGTCGGCCGACAAGCGGCCGACAGTCGACCGACAAATGACCGACTATCGGCCAACAGTCGGCTGACAGTTTTCGTTACGTTGCAGACTTAAGTGGCGGCTGACAGACGGCAAACTATCGGCCGTCTGTTAGTAACTTGTCGGTGACCTGTCGGCAACGTGTCAGTAAGTCTTGTGCTGAAATGATCGCAAACACTTACTCATTTGGTTACGATGAATATATGAAGTTCATATATTTTGAACTGCGGTTATAGATACGTACGATGCACGATCCTCGCAGTAGAGAGCGCTATTTATGCAATAGCGAAATCAGACCTGAAAAAAAAAATCAGGCCTGTACGGGACTCGAACCACTGACCTCTGCGATATTAGTGCAGCGCTCTACCAATTGAGCTAACAAGCCAACTGGGAGCAGGCCGTCAAGTTGACTCGT